AGATAATTATAAATAATCTGCAATTAAATTATTTTATTCAGATATTTGCATTATCCGGATAATTAATGATCTGTACAAATAATATATCTGCAGATCATTTCTCTAGATTCTTGTTTACTTAGAATAGTTGATAACATGCATTTATCATTAGAGTCTAAAATAAAAGAGTTAATTATTAAATATTATTTAAATAAAAATTTTGATACTAATATCCATCACATATATTTTGTATCTTTTCTCTTTAAGCACTATTTCAGTTTCCCTTCTTGTTGCGTTAATTTATTAATCATGGTTAGTGATCCTGATGTTAAAATAGTAAAAATATTTTGTAAAAGCTTGCAATTTTTAAAGATCTCATGTTTTAATTCATTATTGCTTTCTTGTAGAGTATTAATCATTACGCATTGCTTTAGATGCTCTTTGACTATTTTCTCAAGAATGGATTGAGTATTTGTATTGATTTTAATATCTAGACGCATTATATATATGAATAAATATTACAATACAATATTATATAAATTATAATTATAAAAGTGATATAGATTTTAAAAAAAAACTTACATTTTGTTTGTGAATCATCAAAAGCTTTCAGTTTCTTACTCTTGATATCTTCATTATAAATTGCTATTCAGATAGATCAAAAAATATTATAAAAAGAAGCTTATAACACATCATTATTATACCTGTATATTTAGGTGATATCGATGAAAAATCTGTGATCATTACATCAAGTTTACCAGTTGAAGATGATATTGAAGCTTTTAAGACTTTAGATATGCTTTTTTCTGGTATTTTTTTCTTTGACTTTGCAGATTGCTGTTGAGACTTATTAGATAATTGGCATGATACTTCAGGAGTTTTTTCAGCAATTTTCGTAGATAATTGAGCTAGACTGACGTGAACAGCTGTGTCAAAATTAATTAGATCATGAACTAATAATTGTTCATTGTGCATCATATCTTAGTTTTCTTTTTTATACTTCTTTTTAAAAGTTTTCTTCTGCTACCAATTAATACTTTATTATTGAATGTTATGACAATCACAAAAATTCACAAAAATACACATATATCTTTTTTAATATTAACTGCTAAATCATCAAGTTCATTAATTTTACCAATGGGTATCTGTATATATGAAGATAGTAAATTTGGAAGAATATTATGATGTTCAATATTTAAGTCCTGATCTTTGGATAATGTAGCTTATGGTGCGAACATTATAACACTATCTTCTTGCTTTTCTTAATTGTTGAAGCCTTTTTAGTTTGTATTTCATTCTTTTCCTTTTATTTGAATTTTAATATGATAAAATATTATATTAGTTAAAATATCACAATATAAATTATAAAGAATTTACCATAGATGAGTTTTTATAGTGATTTTTTTGAATTGGAAAAGATGCTGAGATATTGTCTTTCGCTATACCGTTAAATATATCTCTAAGAGATGATGTAGCTGAACTACTAAATGTACTAGTAGTATTATTATTTTTTTTACGTCTTAAATTTGATGATGCTATGAGAGAGATGATATTAAGTAACATAAATGATAAAGCTGGCGATATTTATAATAATGATCATCAAATAAATCAGTATATCTTAATATATAAAAAGAGGTTAAATGAGTTTTTATTATTTCATGAAACATAATTATAATGATTATCCTGTATCGATAAAAGAATATTTTATTAGTGATGGTTTAATTAATCATATTATTGATTTATATAAATAAATTATAAGTTAGTATAATAATGCATTATCATAAACATAATATATTACATTTAAATTTACCTTTTGTATCACCTTAATAATTATATATTCTTCTTTATTATCCTAATAACAACATTCAATTTTTTTTCTATATTATTTAAACGATGTTTACTTATTCATATCAACATTGTAATAAAACCTTTTATATCGAGTTGCTCTCTGTGAACACGCTGTGACAGGTAAAATTTTAGATAGATTTAATTGGTAGAATAGGAAGTCAATTTTATTGCCATGTAGATCTTTTATGAAGATCATTTTGTCCATTTTATTGCCATCGATCAATTATGTAA